GGCATGTGGTGCTGGGGATTGAACCGCGGTCCCTGTGCTTTGCCAAGCTTGTTCTAAGTAGGTGCTTTAGACCACTGAGCCATCTCTCCAGCCCCTAATTTTCTTATTTTTTTATGTACTTTAGTTCTGAGGATTAACTAGCAAAGTTTTTTCCTGTTTTATAGGTCGTCTCTTCACTCAGTTAATGGTTTCCTTGCTGTGCAGAAGCTTTTGAAGTTGATGTGATTCAACTTGCTGGTTATTGGTATTATTTCTTATGCAGTCAGGACTCTTCGCTCAGAGTCTGCGCCATCATAACACTTGTGCCAAACTGCAGTAAGTAGCCTACAACCACAGTCTTGTGCCACTCGACCTGTGCAACACGTGAGTTTCTGAAGCCTGGACTTGCTTACTAGACATCTGGCATGCGGTGGCTCAGGGCAGTATCCTGCTGCTGTTTCAACTACTGCCAAAGCATGGCATCTCCAAACCTGCAGGCGATGCGGGCAGTGAGGCAGCCACAGCAGGAAAGTAGGAAAGCAGGCAGCAAGCAAGCTAGCTAGCTAGCTAGCTATTTCGATGTTAACAACGAGAGACCTGCTTCAGGGTTTAGCTTAACCAAGCTTACTAACATTCTACAAGTCAGGGGTCGGGCCCAGAGTTTAATAAAAAAAAAAAAAAAAGCTTTCTACAGGTCCACCAAGTTTTTCTTTACAAATTCTCTCTATAAAAATACCAGCCAGGAGTGGTACACAACACAGCAGTAAGGAAGCAGAGGCAGGAAGATCACTGTGAGTTTGAGGGTAGCCTGGGCCTATACGGAGTTCTAGATCAGCCTGAGTTGTCCGAAAGAAAGAAAGAAGCCTAACAAAAATAAATAAAATTAGATTAGCTACAGTAGAATAAGTGTCTGCCTGGCAAGCACAAGGTTGTAAATTCAATCCCTGGTACCATAAAAAAAAAAAAAAAAAAACAAAAAAAATTAGATTAGCTAAAATTATTTCCTTAACAACTTGACAGAAAGTAGATTAATGATTATCAAGGACAACAAGGGAATGGGAAGTGACAGCTGAATGGACTTAGGACTTGCTTCCTTTTAAGATGATGAAAATTCCTGGAACTAGAATGGTGACAGGTGCAATGGTATCTCTACACTCTACACTTTGTGCAGCTCTTACACATACCTGTGGTGTTTGGGATCAATCCGGGGTCTTGTGCATTATCAGAATAGTGCTCTGCCTCTGAACTATACCATCAGCCTCCCTAAACTATACTCAAGTAACGGTTATGATGTATTACACATCAATAAAAAAAGCAGTTTGCCTCAATTGGGGTCTAGGCAAGTGGCTCAGTGGAAAGGACCTAAGGGTACTCCCTGGCACCACAGTAATGCGACAATCATAATCTGCTTCAAGAGCCCCACAGCATACAGCAACAACACAGTGCTGCAAGAATCTGGCTGATGTGTGGTTAGGCAGCGACACTCAAGGAATGAGCTGCTGGTAAGCAAATACATGAGGTGCTCCTGTTCCTTGAGAAAATACAGACAATCCCAGACTTACCCACTTCAACTTTGTACTTTTCAATTTTATACTGCTAAGAGTCTAATATTTCACATTTTGAATTCTGGTCTTTCTTGGGCCACAGATATGCAGTATGTGCCCTGGGATGGACACATTCTGTATGACTGAGCCCACAGACCAGAGAGGGTGTGAGGGACACTGCACACGCCATGCTAAGCTGTCAGGCAGGTGGGGTGAATGAGTGTGTCTTCACCTTATGGTGGCTGCACTGGGATATAACTTTATCATAAACAGAGGAGCAGTACTTGTTAAGTCCCATGTTATCTTCACATAGGAAGTGTCCATTTCTAGACTCTTCATGCCTGAAAAGCTGGAAAGACTTCAACATTCTCACTGTCAAGAACTTGCTCCGTTTTCCAGGTACTAACAAGCTTCAGCACACCACTTGCATTCAGAAAACCTCATGCTGAGCCAGGGAGATAACTCAGAGGTCTAAGCACTTGCCTGGCAAATGCAAGGACCCAGGTTCAATCCCGGAAACCACATGCTGTGCTGGCCCCACCCCTGGCCTGCTGAGTAAGCCACCAAACCAGGCATGGTAGTGCATGCCTGTAATCCCAATGCTGGAGAGGCTGAAACAGGAGGATCGCTATGAGTCCAAGCTGTGTAGTGAGACGAGACCCTGTACCAAATATGTAAAGAAAAAAAGAGAGAGAGAGAGAGAGAACCTCATGTTTCTCTGCATCTAACTTGTTTTACATTAAACAACTGGAGAACATGTTGATAACCTAGTGACTTCTACATGGTAACAATGTCATTAACCAGAGGTAAACTTTGAACCCTTCTTTTTCACCCCGTTTTGTCCAGTTTGTTTTACCTTCCATTTCTTATACAGAGCTATTACATAAAAATGCACTGATATCCGACCAACCCCAGGCCCTGTGAGTGTGGGGGAGAGCTTCTGCTCTGTCCTGCGCCCACCCACCACTCCAAGCTCAGGCCTGCTGTGAGAGGTCTTTGCCCTTGTTATTCGGACCTCCCCCGGCTGGTCAGACCCAACGCAGCCTGCCATCTGAGTAAGAACTGCTGCCGCGCTCTTGGGAGTCCTGCAGACCCACCAAACACAACACTGGTGAGTGTGTGGGAGAACTTCTGGGTTCCCTCGCCCCCGCTCCTCATACTTCTCCAGACCCAGCCCAGACCTAGCATACAGGCTTGAGGTAAAACCCTGCAGCTAAAGTCCCCACAGTGAGACTAGGGTCAAAACCACACAGCTAATCCAGGAACAGATCATCTTACCAGAGGTGTACAGCAGGCCCACCTCCAGGGGCAACAACAGTAAGGAGCTGGGCACAGTAGCCTTACCTAAGCCAGGCACAACTGCATGAACTAGAACTTGGCATATCAGTATCTGAATTTCATTAAGTGATAACATAATTGCACCAAAGCTCTACACCAAAGGCCACAGGTCAGTGTTAAACAAAATAATAAAGACAAGGAGCAAAATGCAATCTCAGGTCTCAAGCCCACCCATTACAAGTGCAGAGGACACTAGCTCAGCTGAAATAAATGAATCAATAGCGTCGGAAGTAAATAAACAACAGAAAGATATAGGGGAACTCAGAGCAGAATTAATTTCTGGAATTTAAAAAAAAAAGAAAATTCTGAATTTATAGCAGCTGAACTTAAGAATCAAGTGCAAAAACATGGAGGAAACAC